GATCATGTTAAAATAGTACTCATCCTTTGTTTCTTCAAGAATTTTTTGCTTACACCCTCCACAGTTCTCCAAAATTTTCACCCCAAAAAAAAGGAAATCTTTGAAACCTTTGGATGTTTAGCGAGAAAATTCGCCACGGCACGAGCGTTCGAGGAGATCTTATCAATTCGCAATGGCAAGGTCTTCAGACCGCGGGCCACCAAGGCGGCGTCGAATGGTGACTGAAAGAGAATGTCAGTACAAATTAGGATCATTCACTAGCCTCATCTCTTGTTGACCTACTACGTTGGAGCACTTACAAGGGCGCTACCGGTGGAGAACTGCTGCATTTTAAGTCGTTCCCAATGTTCCATAGATTTTGTCGTGACACATCCAGCAATCGTATCGGTATGACCGGCAATGTATTTAGAGCTGAACACTTGTGATTTGTGGCTACTTTTTAGATAATGTTACTGGGAGTAAGGATGCTGCTCGATCATTCGGTCCGTTTGTCTTCTCAATCACATATGCGCTAATTGTTCCATTTAATAGAAATTCTATGAGCTGCACCGACTGCTGCTTGATCACACATAACTATTTAATTGCCTAATCTTTTTTAAACATAATAATCCAAAGGTGAGCCAATTTTTTACAGTGGAATACGGTAGGATCATGAAATAAAATATAAAAATGTATGAAATGTGAATTGTAGATTTTAGCGCATGCGTTTTGTCGTCAAAATATTTGTTTAGTATTGTTTTTATGTTTTTATCTATGCGTATCTTTGTCCAAGGCTAACATTAAAAATCCAAAGTGTTTCTTACGATTGAAGATTTTGTAAAACTATCAATATCCACAGCTCACAGCATGCTAATGCTGATATTTTTTGCTTGTAAACATGAACTAAGTATCTGTTGCGAAAGCCGCTAAGTGATGGAAGCGGCTGACAGCATCTCGCCTAGGCAAATACATGCACAGGTGCAATAGACCAGCCCGCTGTAAGTGATCATTCCCCGTAAGTGCCCTTACAAAAGATAAAGATATAGAGAGTATAACTTGAACAATATTTTTTCGGGTGAACGATGCCATAAAGAACGTAGCATTTTTTTGAGAGTGATTTTTTCACAAAGACAAAAAATTAGATTCGCTACTAAGAAATCAACTGTAATTATCCCCGGGTTCCCAAGTCCGAAAGTGATTTTTTTTTACAATTTAGACACAAAAGTAAAATCGCTATTAAGATATCAACTTAAATCTTAACCCCTGGGTTAATATATATTCAGAAAAAATTTTCTCTTTCAAGATAAAAATTCATCGAAAAGAGAGAAAGAGCCATTATTGTGGAAATTAGTTTTGATTTATTCTTTTATACTATTATTTTTAGCGTATATTGTGTCATGTCGCTAAACAACTGAGTATTTGATTTCTTAGACCATGTAGCTACGCTTAATGTAGATAGCATCGATTAATTTATATTAGCTCCCGAAGCATTGACGACTAGCCGCTTTCATTTACCTATAATTTG